CCCCCCCTCTTTTCAGCATTTTTTTTTTTCCACCAATGCCATCTGGCTTGAGTGTGACGGGTGCCTGTAGGGGGCTTGGCGCGGGGGGGCTCGTGGCTTGGTTGCGGGTTGAGCAGGCCAGTCGGGTGTTCTAGCGCCTTGGGGATGTGCCTGCGGTTGCAGCCCCCGGGCTTCATAGGCACCTTCCCTCCACTAGTGACTTGGGCATTAAACAAGTATTAAGGTGCCACTAATCCCAAATTTTTTTTTCACTAATATAAATTTCCTTTTTCTCCTGATCACCACTGCGAAGAAATTATTGTTGTAGCTATTTTCATTAATTTTCTATGAATTTTTTAAGTTTGTAAATTTGCCCTTTTCCATGTTCACAACCGAGGAATACTGGAGAATGGGACCAGTTGGCTTCTGACGTCACTTCAGGAATAACAATATTTTGTTTCTGAGAAGAATGTATGCGGACATGCGATAGTGTGTCAAAATCGTTGCAGAATGCAAAGAAGATATGTTGTTGGAGGCTGTAGCGATACGGGATGTGTAGAATAGAGTATTCCTCTTCATTCAATACCTCTATCTCAGTGAAACTCTACAAGAAATTTAAAGGAGAAAAAGACCAAAGAAGTGGGCTGATCTGTGCAAAGCTAAAGCCGGGGAGCCATTGAGGATTTCTTCGATCTTGGGTTCGCCGCTACTGTAAAAAACTAGAGATTTTCATGGCCTGTATATTCTTCTCTATCTCTACTAAGTGGAAAGCTTGAAATTGTCAAGGTACTGCATAAGACGAATTTGGGATAAGCTGGAAGCCATCTGATTATTTTGAGCGAAGACAATCCTCCGAGTCGTAGACGAAATTATAGGTGAGGAAATTACACGGTAAATTAAAGTAGAGACTTGTCTAAATGAATAGCAAATGAAACCTACATTCTCCAACGATGCAAAGAAGATTGTGGAGGCTTCGAACTGGTGAACTAGCTAGGTATTTGTGGATTTTAATGAAAGCGCACGCATGCCGGAGGTCGCCTGTAATCCGGCCATGTTTCTCAATGGCCATTCCGAATACAGAATTGTTTTGTTCGTTGAGCTTCGTCTTTGAGGAACAAAATACATGTATATCTAAATTACGAACTTAGAATGGAATAAGCATTTGTAAAAAAATATATGAGGAAAGTGAAACAAACGATTAAGATTCAACTCTGTAGCCACCGACGGAGATTGTCCTGCTTAAAGAAGAATGCGCTTGTAAGTCAACCAAAATGGTTAGTAAAACTATTTTCAATCATTGATCTGGAGAAGTAGGCAGGAGTGGAGTATGACTGAATCGCATTTTAACTTGTATTTCGGGGGAAATTAATGTTTGAATGTAAAAATGTTTTGACACTCCGAAATTTGCACGTTTCGTAAAGTCAAATTACCAACTCTTCGTGTTCATTTACATCTTTGTAACTCTCTAAGAGCTGTAAGCTAACTCTTCAGTCATTATCTGTACCTTTATAACCCAAATGGACCAGAAAATTGTTGATCCCAGCCTAAAAATAATTATACAACGCGGCAATCTCGACTGGCGACCTACACTTCGAAATGGAAAAAAAAATATGTACATCGCAGCCATCCAGATCTTAGCTAGACTCTGAATTGTAATGCTAGATGATACAGTTCTTTCACTTAAAGTTCTTGTCCAGTTTTGATAAAATATGAATCACAAATAACCTGAAAATGTTTTGACAACCCTCGCATCTCAGTCAAAAGTCTCTTGAGTGTTTTAGTCTGGTTCCCGAAGTGAACTAACTAGTAGCCCAGCACAGATCCCACTTTGTGCGGTCGTGAACATAGAAATTGCATGTTTAAACGCCTGTAGAAATGAAGGGATTTTATCAATCAAGATAATTTTTTCACTGAATTAGTCAGAGAAACAAGTAGATTTTATTAAAGGAAAAAAAAATGGGGTTTGTGGCACTTTAAGAACATTCATGTTCATATTTTACTCAAGTTGTCAGAATAAAAAGGCAAGTACATAATGCATGCAAAAGTGACGAATAAACATTAAAACGATCCGGATTAGCTGACCAATGTGACAAATAAATGAAACATATCTTTTATAAGATTAGTGGACTAAAAAAAAACTCAGGACATACATGTACCTGTACCTATAGAGGGTCGTACAGGGATATTCTCGTAATGCTTGATTAGCTGATTTTATTTTCGGTGAATTTAGGAAATTATTCTTCATGACCCGTGACCTGAAGGTTTTGCGTGACCTGTGAAGAACCTGAATTATTAACCGATATTCCTGATTTTACCACTCTGTTCTACGTGATTTTGAGAGGCAGGTCCTCTGAATGCTTAGAGTCATCTATCAAGAGTGACTTACATGTAGGTATGGGATTTGCAATATGGAGCCTTGACTTAGCCATTCACGATTTTTTTTTTTTATTGCAATATCTTACATTACATTACATACAAAAATTACCTACCATTCACGATTTTGCTTTCTTTTGACACTGTTTCTAGTGTGAGAACAGGTCATTAAAAAGAGTATCTTACATGTGCTTGCTTATTTTCGTGATTCGGGAAAACAAAATTTTTATATTCATGATACGTTGTGCAGGTTTCACACCCAGATCCCAAGGTTGTGCGTAAAGGCCAGGTTGCTCATCGCAACTGTTTTGAACGAAAGAAGAAACAAAGGCGAGTCACCACTGGAATTCAGGCAACTTTCTTTTGTGTTTTATGACGAAATGTTGGCCAATCCAAGCATTCTGTTTTGTAGAAAAATGTGTCATGCCATTCGTCTCATTTGATGCAAGTTCTCAATCAAAGTTGGCAGCAAAATCATGCAAAGTAGCTGGCAAATTTTGCCGGCCACCAGCCCTTATTGAAAACCCTGTATGCGTGGTTTTCCTCTCAGGACTGAATCAGCCCTCCAAGCTGCAACTATTTTGGGTACCGTGGCAAGTGAAAAAGAACATTTGGTCGCTAAATTTTCCGAAATAGTGCAACTAGTGAGAGTATTTCATGACCAGTGCAGTCCAAATGGCGGATCTCATCAAGAAGGGTTTTTAGTGTTATCACTGAGCAAAATGAATTCAACCGCAATTTTGCATATTTGTCTTCTTCACCTGTTTCTTTGTTCTTTTATTTACATGTACATGTACTTTCCTGAACAGTAATTAAGACTGTTCAACAATTCAAATAAAGAAAGCATGCTTTGATTTTGTCAACCAAATTTGTCTTAGTGGCAACCATTTTACAGGCCAAGTCTAATAGGGTGTGATTAAAAAAACAAAACAAAACAAAAAAAAAACAGAAATTACATGAAATTTCTGGGGCAGATTATGGGATATTAACGGGCTATTATGCGATAAATTATGCAAATTATGCAATTTTTCCCTGAGGTATTTTAAGCATATTCTACTAGGTTTCATAAGACCAAAACCACTTTTGCACTGCTCCAAATACAAATAATTTTGAACGTGAAGGAACAAAAATTAAACATTATGCATAAATTGGGATAAAGAAAGACTCAAGGTGTTTGTTCACTACAGACGTCTGAAGATGATCAATCACAACATAATTTGCATCGTTAGCCTATCATCCACGTGGGAGGGGTATTTTCTTGCTCTATTTTTCACAGTTAAAATTTGGCAGATGGTGTGATTTAGTCTTATCAGTGGAAGAAACAGCAGGCTTTTTCACTACAAACGTATCCACAAGGGACATTTGTTTCAAATTCCAAGAAAGAAGTAACCTTTTGCCATCAAAATAAACATGGCTTGGATCATAGTTGTCAATATATACCAGCACTTCTGATTGGCCCAAGCAAGGAAAGGAATTGTTTATATTGTACAAATAGGCAATTCTTTGAGAGTGAAAACTAATACCAGTCCCCAGACATCCAAGAAATGTCTTGAACTTCAGTTGTTTACAAAATCAAAGGTTGTAGGAGGTTTTTGAGGCTGTCTCAAAGGCAAATCATCTTGAAACAATGCGTAGACGTGGCATATTTCCTGACAAAGCATTAACTAGGTTTATTTTGTTAAAATTGTGCAGTTTTTCATGAATTTGGATGTGATTTGAGGTTGATTGTTTGAAATTGCACCATCGCATGATATCGAAGGGCCTGATTTTTTAGGAGGCTGCCAAAAGGCAATTTATGAAAAACTTAAGTATGGAGCCCTGGGAATGCAAATGAATTGCACTGTTTCATCCTTGTTTTTTGTTTGTTCTTTGTATCTTGTTCACTGTACATGTATTTTGAAGGAGTATTGCTTCTTATGTTTTATTTCTTTGAATTAATTAATCTAATGCCATATTTGATTTGTTCTTACAGAAGTAACTCATATTCATGTTAACTGCTCAAAATAATAATAATTAATGATAATGATAATGATAATAATAGTAATTGGACCTCATGTCGTACAATTCTGGGAGTAATCACACAAGTAATTTCAATATGGGACAAGTCGAGATTATGAGCATGATTACTCCCTGAATTGTAGGGCCCGAGATCCAATTACTAATTAATTGTCTCTATAACAAACTTCAGAATTAAAATGTTAAGTGTCCGGTCAAAAACTATTATTTAAATTCTAACTTTGTTCCAAGGCTGAAGAGAACAGACCAAGACAGGAAATGGTGGCCTGAAAGAATGTAGTTTTCTAGATCTTGAACTTGAGAGGTCATACACTGTAAGTTTGAATAGTTCAGTTAACAGATTGGCATATTCTGATACATTTGTATTCATTTATCTTTTCTTCCCAAATTTGAACACAGCTCAGAGAAGCAATGAATACCAAGCATCTCCACCTCATTCTCACCCCATTGCAGCTGCCAAACTGCGCACAATGAGTCCTGTTGGCTCTCCAGCCAGTGTTTCATCGTCGGGATCAAGTGTCAAGTCACCATCGAGCCCTTGTCCACTTTCCTTTCCTAAACACATTGTCAATGACATGAACAAAGCCAGGTCATTAAGTGACCCTCCAGAACTTTCAAATAGCCCTCAAGTTCATTACGACAAGCACCGAAGGCAGTCTGAGCAACTTGGACCTGCAACAAAGCCAACGGGGAATCCCACAGAGAATTGTGACACACTGCCTTCTCCTAGATTTTCATCTCGGGATACTTATGACAATTTACCAAATCCAAAAAGAATCCAGAAAGTTGGGGAAACACAGGACAATTATGATGATGTTCCACTCCCTCGACCAGTTGAACGCTTGGCAAGTCCCTCATCTCCTAGAGCAAAACTAACAGTGAATCATCTCTCACCCAGCCAAGAAGACTATGATGCAGTGCCTCTACCACGTCCGGTCTCCCAGGGAAGTAGCAGATCCTCTCAGGAGGTGTATGATTTTGTCCCTCCTCCAAGGCCAACATCCTCTTGCAGTGAAACACAGGATCTCTATGATGTTCCTCCTTTAGTAAGACCCGAGGAGAGTGAAAATTATGACAGTGTTCCCCCAGCCAGGCGAAGGCCTTCTTATAGTGACACCCAAGATGTTGGAGGTTTCTCTGTTCATCTAGGTCTTGGAAATGCACAGGAGAACTATGATGTTGTTCCTCTTCCAAGGCCAACATCTCATAGTGACACACCAGATGGCCGAAGTCTCTATAATAATTCCTCATTTGGAAGAGCACAAGAGAAGGAAAATTACGACTTCGTTCCTCAGCCACGGCCAGTGTCTTCTTGTAGTAATACAGAAGATGGTCAAGGTCTCTATGATTTTCCTCCAGTTGGAAGAGCATCAGAGCAAGCCAACTATGATGTTCTACCTCCTATGGGCAGACAAAGATATCTTGACCTGGAGAAAAAGGAAAATTATGACGTTGTTCCAATACCACGGCCTACTTCACAAGAGATTTATGATGTTGTTCCACCAGCTAGGCCAATGAGAACGCGAAGTGAATCTGGGAGCACACCTAGAGATCAAAGTGGTGGTGATCCTCGTTTTTCTGACGTGTTTCAATCCAATGGGCAGTCTGATACAGATGCCTATCATTGGGTTCCTTCCCCTTCCCACACCAGAAAAGATCCTTATGACACTCTGCCAAACACTACACGCCCTGTTAGTGCAGATTCTGGACTAAATGCTTCGTTTTCAAGTATTTGCTCCTTGAAGTCGGATGGTCAGGATGACAAGTATGATGCACCATTACCACCAGTTCCAAATGAGAAAAGAGATTCAGGATCATTGAGTGATGAAACACCTGACTTTGATGATGACAATGAAGGGATTTATGACAAGCCACCCAATTTGACATTCAGAGACTCAATTTATGATGTCCCTCCCAAACTTGGAGGAGACAATGTTCTTCCAACACATTCAGATGAGATATACGATGTTCCTCCTATGGCCTCTGATGACATCTATGATGTGCCACCCCCACACTCCAATCAAGGTACATGTATGAATGTTGACTTAAAATATCTCAGTTATTGGGAAAATAAATGTGGCAATTGTTAAGTTTATAAGTAGATTGGAATATGGCCTGTATGATATACATGTACATGCAGTCTTGAAATTACTGACTTGGGTCTTTGATCAGGCAATGTGGAAGCACATGGCTCCCAATGATGGATCACTCTACAAAGCATCTTGCTAAAGTGAAGAGCACCACCAAGCCATTGATGCCAACACAAGATCACTACCATGCTAACCAGAATTCCTTTCACACAGTTTCCAGTTAATACATGTACTGATTGTCTAAAAGTTGTTATCAGTATTGTTATATCTAGTCTACAGTGTATAAGTTAATTCATTTTAAACATCACAGAATCATGGTATGAAGGGGATTTCTGTTACGGCAACTGCAAGATGTTGTTCTTTACTACTCAGGTTGCTTAAGCAATCCAAGTGGACATGCAGGAGTTCCAGTGGTTGATCGTTCTACGAAACCCCCACCTGAGGTCAACAGAGCTATGAAGCCAAAGGCCCTTGGACAAGACCACAGCTACTATAATATGGCACCACCAGTTGATCGAGGAAGCAAACACAATAGAGGTAATATGCCTCAACCAGAGCATAGCTACATCAATTGTGGCTCTCTAACCCAACAGCGTCCACAGCATCTTCCTCTAGTAAAAAGTCTAAGTGGAAACCCTTATGTTGGGTCATTGCCCAGTCAACAAAATAGATGGCCAGCAGTGCAGGAAGAAGGTGCAGAATATTGCTTGATGGAGTCCGTGCCAACAAGATCAACTTCTTCACGATGCTACAGTTTTGGGAAAGATGAAAGACGAAAGTCACCAGTTTCGGATCAGTGTTATGAAGACATGTCTGCAATAAAGGCAAAGAGGCTATCTGGTACAAAGAGCAGTTCATCATCATCCTCCTCCTTAGGTGACAATGATGAATACACCCATATGACTCCTCGTCATGTTGGTTCTTCACCAATACAGGTGTGTGCACATAATGTAATGATTTCATTTAGCACTGTCCTTCCAACAAGCAGATCTGTCTAATAAGCATCCTTCTCTTAAGCATGTTCTTCAAATAGTCATACCCATATTGAAAAGTAATTATATTAGATAATTGTGCCTCTATTCCAGTAAGTACTGCTATTATGCCATCAGGGTACATTAAGTTGGCCCATATTGGTTTCTCTTTTGAGCTGCTCATGTCAGTTGTCCCTCAATACAAACAAACTGGTCTTCTACATTTTGTTGGTTTCTGATATGTTGTTTTCACATGAGAGCAAAACTCCCACAAATGAAAGAGTGCTCTTTCATTTTGCACATTCAGATGTCTCTATTCAAAAATATATGCCCTGTTACAGGCACCTTGTCTCCAGTAATAACCCTCCCTTGTGCTCCTAAAACTATATATATAAAAAATCACATAATTGAATCATTAAGGTACTTGGTACATTTACATATTGAACTCAGTGGTCAGATGATGTGCCTCCCTCTACATGTACTTCAGGGAGGATCAACCAAAACTGTTACAGGAAGCAGCATTGAGTTTAGCTCTGTCGATTCCTTGAATTGGCACAAAGTTATTCCATAAAGAATAATGCAAAATCCATCAATTTGTCCTTGTTGTACTGGGCAAAACAAATGATTTAGATGCATTTCAAAACAGACTGTTTGATTATAGAATTATAGGGTTCCAGATAAGATGTAAAGAAAAGTTGCTATTACGAAAATAATTGGAACAGGTCTCCTTGTTGAGTTTTGTTTCTTATCTGGAACACTATTAATTTGTACAGTCAGACCCCTTTAATACAGACCGAAGCATAAAAGGGGCAGAGCTGAGTGTCCTTATCATGGAGGTTTCACATTATAGAGGAACAAATCATATGAATTCTAGTTTCTTTGGGAACAAGAAAAGTGTCCATAATGTAGAGTGTTCAGTGTGTCAGTGTTATGGAGGTGTCTGTAAGGCAAGGGTTTATTAATTATAGACATGCACTTGAAACGTTAATGTGCAAGTTCCCAATACCAATTTTATAATGATACTAATAATTATTTTAAAATGGTCATTTTGCAGGTGGAACAGAGACAGAGAAAAGATCTTCTATATGCTGAAGTTGAGATAGCTGAAAGTCCCCACCTGAAGCCACATTCTGCTCCAGTGGCCAGAAAAGCAAACACTCATTATACATTCATAAATGAGGAGTCTACTCGAGCACTGTTACAAACATCTAATGCACGGAGAGAAAATCGCTGAGCACTTATCAAGCACACGTCCAAAAAAATATAGCTTCTTTATGTGACAAGTACACTGTACATGACTCACTGCAACATGTTGAATGAAAGTCATTTCTTGAGAAAGAAATAAGCTATTTCCATGATATTCATGAAACTTTAGTTTCTTTCTTTTGATTGAAAAATGGATTGAAATATTTGTTTTTAAAGTGGATCGTAGAGAATTTTAACAAGTGTATTACATGCCTCATTTGAGGCCAAGGCATTTTTTTCTTGTACATACCACTTGTAGATTGTAAAGCTGTACATGAACAGTAGATAATGCAAAAAATATATTTTCATAAGCAAGACGATTGTAGAGAAACATTAGAATTGAGAGATTAATATTTTGAAAATTACCAAATCAGAAAACTGACTTTGAAAACAACAACAGCTATAGTAGTCGGCCTACATGTACAATGTACATGTCTCTTTATTGCAGTAATAATAATTATTATGAAACAAGTAAATTTAATAGAAACTGGCACATAACATGTCCCTGAGCATACATGTACAGCTGTAGCCTGCTGCTAATATGCCAAGAGCGAGTTTACATTTTTCTTTTTAATAACAATTTTTAATTTCTTTTAAGTGATTACCTGTATCTTTGTGATTGGAAAGTTGACTTAATATAACAGTTTTAAATTAAAAGACCAGATACAATCTTAATTTCTGGCACTTAAATGAAAAGTCCATTTTTAAAAAAGTCTAAATAGTAAGAAGAAAAGAGTTAACACTACTTGTTATACTGCCTTTGATTATCTATAAGAAATGTTAGGTCGCAGTGGCTAGAATTCAGTGTCTCTCGCTCCTGGTCTAACATTGGGGAGAATTGTTTGGTGTATAAACACTACTTTTAGTTTATAGTGACTGTAACCATTTCGCTCAAAGAGTCGCATTATGAAACATGTCATGGAGTTCACGTGGTTCAAGCTTTTTCATCATTTGATGCAGAATCACTAGTGGGTAACCATTCAAACAAAAGCTACATGTATTGAGCAGTATCTTCATGTGGTACTGTTTGTTTTTTATTAACCTTAAGTCTGATAGCTATTGAGCAGTAATCGTGTGATACTGCATATTTGTTTAAATAGTGAGCTGAAGAAGAGATGTTTTTGAATGAGAAAGGGCAACAACAAGTTGAATGTTCTCTTCATTTCCTAAAGGGCGTCAAGTTAAAAATGCCTTAAATAAATGACAACTTTCAAAGTGCAGGACAAATAAGCAAAATTGAAAAACAAGAACTTCAACTTCCAGTAACTGTCCATTTTTCAAAAGCAGAAACGCTTATAAGCTCACTGTTATTGCAAATGGAACTTGTAGAATGTCCTACCTTGAGATTGAAGGATATAGCAGTTTACTGACGATGGCTACAAGCTTAAGATAAGCACATTTTAGCTGTATGCTAGAACATAGAATAACGTGTGGAATACTATTGTGTATTAGTCTGAGTAATTGATTATTTTTTTTAAAAGAATTTTAAAAGAAATTGTTTTATAAAAAAAAAGCTGTTTTTACTTTCATCAGATTGACTATTTGTCTCCTGCCTGTTTACTTTGGTAGATAAAAATAATTGTTTTGTAAATAAAATTGTAAATGTTTTCAGGTTTAAATTTTTGTTGTAGAGTTGTGGCAGAGAAGTAAATAAAGACCTCCGGTATTCCAGCTTTCCCGTGATTCATTTTTTGTAATAAATTATATTGATTTTGGAACACCTCAAGCGTAGGGTGGTGGGGAGAGGTCATTCTTTTTATGTTCTATACCCACACCACTTCTTGCCTAAATTAACAGGGGCATAGCTAGCCTTTAAGCCATTAAGAGCCAGTGCCCATAACTATGGACCAAACAACGGCACAAGTCGAAAAATCGATTTTGCTCATTTTTTGCCCATAGATTGGCCCTAGCTAGGAAACAAACGGACCATAGTTAGTTTCTGCTAATGCAGTTTTTTGGGGGAGAATTTGCGAAAAACGATTTCGCCCCGATTGAGCTCAAAATCTACTTCCTGTTATGCTAAATTTTCTGAA